ATATGTAAACTCAGCTGATCAATTAGCTGATATATTTACTAAACCGTTGGGGGGCTCAAGGATAAAGTACATTTGTAACAAGCTTGGAGCACACAATATATATGCTCCATCTTGAGGGGGAGTGTTAAAGGGTATTTATGTCTTTTATGTAATACTTAGGGTTTCCTAAGGTTTTCCTAACTCTTATTATAAATAGTGGGACAAGCTAACACAATTGTTAAGCCTTCTAATTCTTTTACTTTAACAGAGATTATTAGTTCAACACTGATGGCTGCACAAGTAAAACAGCCATATATGCGCGCACGCATCCTTGCTGTCCAAGTTAAAGTCCAATATGGTTTTGTGACTACGTTCTTAAAAAATTGTCACATATTGCCTTTTGATATCTGTAAGGGTGCTGTTGTGAGATCCTTGAACATTTATTTTTGGCGAGATTCTTAAATTTTTTTACTTTTTATTTTTTTTGAGGTCCTTGAGCATTATGTCATATTATTTCTTAAGGTCATGGAAGGAAAATCCCTTCTTTTTAAAGTCCCTTCCCATTATATTTTTTAATATATATGATGACTCGCATCTATCGTATTAAAATATTCCAGATTATTATTTTTACTATGCTTTACTAGGCGTCTTGTGTCCAGAATCAAGTTATTAAAAAAAGTGGCATAAAATTACCTTAGATTTTTACAGATACAGCTGGATAAAAATGGCTCGGCATAATATTAGGAAAAGAAATCATTTCATACTGCAAATTAGATCTTCAAATTGGCTGTCATCCACTTTTTTGTCACGTTCTGTACAGCAACTAGTTAGCATGTAATGCAATATTGATGTTACCAAAAGAAATTAACACAAAACTGGTAGTAACTTGTTTGTTCGGTTGGTAGGATACATTAGATGGATTGCACATGGAGTCATGTAAATTTCAGAAAAATGAACCCAGAATTTGATGTGATATCTCTTATCTTCTTAAATTCCTAAATTGTTTCAGCAAGTAATCGCAAAAGAATTTTCAGGTATATTCATTGGATTGGACTCCTGAAAGGAATCGCATAGTCAGTGCATCTCAAGATGGCAGATTAATAGTGTGGAATGCTCTCACCAGCCAAAAAACTCATGCAATTAAGCTTCCTTGTGCATGGGTCATGACCTGTGCCTTCTCTCCTAGCGGGCAGTCAGTTGCCTGTGGTGGGCTAGATAGTGTTTGTTCAATATTTAACCTCGACTCTCAAACTGACAGGGATGGAAATCTGCCAGTTACCCGAATGCTTAGTGGGCATAAGGGCTATGTATCTTCGTGCCAGTATGTTCCAGACGAAGATTCACATTTGGTAACTAGTTCTGGTGACCAAACATGTGTACTATGGGATATAACAACTGGCCTGAGGACGTCTGTCTTTGGAGGTGAGTTTCAGTCTGGACACACTGCTGATGTGCTAAGGTATGCAGACAATCTCTCTCTCTCTCTCTTTGGAAAATACTATCTTGAAGTGTGTTGTTTAAGAAGTGATCTAATGCATACTGTTTTGATTCAGCATCTCAATAAACGGATCCAACTCTAGAATGTTTGTGTCTGGCTCATGTGATTCAACTGCTCGTCTGTGGGACACTCGTGTTGCTAGTCGAGCAGTTCGTACTTTTCATGGTCACGAGAGAGATGTTAATAGTGTAAAGTTCTTCCCAGATGGTAATAGATTTGGAACTGGTTCAGATGATGGAACTTGCAGATTGTTTGACATTAGAACTGGGCACCAGCTACAGGTGTACTACCAACCTCACGGAGATAATGACGCCCCCCCTGTGACTTCCATTGCATTCTCTATTGCGGGCCGACTCCTTTTTGCAGGGTACGCTAACGGTGACTGCTATGTCTGGGACACTTTGTTGGCAACGGTACATCGCATTCTTATTCATCATGCATGTGCTATATATTACCAATCCTGTCTTGAATAAAAAATGTGGCACTGGAGTTTCCATTTTCTCGTATTTTGAATTTCAATGCTATCATTATGCTACCTTCAGTTCGATGCAATTCATTCTTTGGAGGCACGACTTGAAAAAACTCGTGTTTCAATGAACAGATGGTTTTGAATTTGGGATCCGTGCATAACTCCCACGATAATCGAATCAGCTGCCTAGGACTATCTGCCGATGGGAGTGCTTTATGTACAGGAAGTTGGGATACAAACCTGAAGGTTAGTCTTCAAGTGTGACTACTTGTTTCACCCTAATTTCTTAAAACTCATTTTTAACCACATATTTATACAATCCACAACTTTTATTAACTTTTCAAACACACGTTTTACCAACTTTTATCGAAATCTACTAAAAATCTAATTTTTATCCAAACCAAACAAGGGCTGTATCTTTGTATATGTGCATGTGCAAGTGTTCTGCTATTGGTCCTTACAAGTAGCTTTGCTTTATTATGGTCCGTTTCAAACTTCTTTCTCGTATCCACATGGTAGCTATAGAGTTCTTTGCGATGTACTTGGTAATAGCTAACCTATTTAAAAGATCGATAGCATAAATATATGAATGTGAGCTCATTACAAGTAATTTTACCGCTGGCAGATTTGGGCTTTTGGAGGGCATAGAAGAGTGATATAAGCAACCGAGACCATTCTTTGATCCGGATTTCTCTGACAAATAGGCGAATGGTTCTCGATGTCTTTTTTTTTTTTTCAAGAAATATGCCATTCAGAGAGACCCAGTTAGTTGTGATTTGGAAAACTGTGTTCTGTTTGCTTGAAATCTTTGTGAGCACCGACAAATACATTAGTAGAGTAAATGAAAATGTACATGTAAGTTTCAACTATCTTTTTGCCCCCTTGTTGCACTCGTTTTCATTCATTTTTCCTGTTGTAATTTCATTTTGAAATAAGAATACATTTCAACTGATTATCAAAAGATTTTTTTTTTAATGTTTCAATTCTTATTCTCGCATCTACACTCACAATACCAAGTTATTAACTTGGTATTGTGAAGGCGCTACAGTATCCAGGAATAGAGCCTACTAAATGCATGTTTGGCCAACTAAGCTTAAGTTCCAATACAGAATTGTCCAAAGTTTATTTGTTTCACAAGTAACTCGTCTAATGAAATGCTACATGATATGATAAATGAACATGTCAACGTTCAAAATATTAGAAGAATGACACATCTTTCTTATTTCAAAAACAACGATGAAAGCATAGAAGGGATTGCTTTGAATTTACTTCATTTGTACATATTCAATACGAAACAAGGTCCAACGAATCCACCTTTTTCTTTCATTATTTTGTAGAAAACTATAGAATATTCAGTATAATAATATATCGAATTCCTCAGCAGGCTGAGTTTGGTGCCAAATCTAATTGCCATTATACAACTCTCACCTCAATTATACAAAACAAAACCCCTGATGCCAATTAACAAATGGAGAAACTAGCCAACAATTTTCCCTCGAATAAAAAAAAAATGGAGATGGGAGAGAGAACTACCCACTTGCAACGGTTTCATGAATTGCATCGCTAACATTTCCATCCTCAGATCTGACGGCCAACTTCATGGAAACCTCTTTTGCCCCATCGATCCCTAATGATAACCGGACAAGCACCTTTACATTGCCTATGTATACACCAGATAATAGGCAGGTATGCGACCTTGAGTTGCTTGGGACCACCTCAGTGCCCTGAAAAAAATAGGAATTAAAGAAATGGAACCCTTTTAGCACTCTTCCAATACCGAAAGGTAGATAGTGGAAAGATATTAGAATAACATAATTAGAAACAAATCAGAACGATGTGAAATATATATTAGAGTTATAATTATCATCAAAATGGGCGAGTAAATCTACACGTGTGAAAATATAGCAACTACATTGTTAATTATCCTATATTATGATGCTTAAAAGTCTGACCTCGCAAGGCTGCATGCCAAGAAGTTGGATGACTGCATTCACAGCTTCCGCAAGGCTTTCCCTTGGCCCAAGGCCATATTCATCTATGCGTTCACAATCAGGGCCCATGCTTTCCCACGCATTCCTGAAGTTGGAGACCCCCACTTTGAGCATATAATCTGCGGCTACAACTTCAAAATCCTCTAGTTGGTACTCGTCTTCCACTCCATCGTCTTCAGCCTCGCCAGTAGAGGGATCAACCTAACCAAATGTATAGGTAGGTGGTAAATAATCAAAGAACACAAGATTCTAGCACTTGTAGACAGATGTCTGAACACAGGAAGCTACCTAAAGGGTAGTACAAACAACAGTAAGAAGGAATATATGTGCATCCCTCACCATTCAAAATAAGTGAGACACAAGTACCTCTTTAACAGTAAATCTCAACATGTTTGAGAATTTTCCAACCACCGGAACGCCTTGAGGTTTTTCAAATGCTACAAATGTTTGTCCTGGAGTGTCATATGGAAGAGATCTAAGTGGTTTGGATGCAACTTCAGAAAACTCTTCAGCTTCAGAAGCATCGACAATAACAGTCACCTTGCAACAGGAAGACAATAATTGAGAAGAAAATTTTTTGCATTGAGATATGAGTTTAACAAATAGTTCTTAAAATATGGTTGCTACATTTTCCAACACTTGTTCTGGAATTGTATTTGTGCAGTTGTACTGGAACACCACATGATGATCAAAAATGTGCTTCACAACATTGACTGCATATTCAGTTTCTTCTTCAGTGAGCTCCACAGGCACTGATGACTGGTTACATGAAATAAAGATTCATAGAGTAAATCACAGATCAGCAATTCATCAAAATGAATCTAGCAGGCTTTCGTATATAAAAAATAATCGGCCAAAAACCTTGAAAAGCTTTCCAAAGCTTGCAAATTCTTGGATAGAGGAGAGAAGGTTTTCATATGCATCAGCACTGGAAGTCAGGCCAGCAGGCAGAGTACCCAAACCAGTTGTTGGTTTTCTACTCGGGGCTTTCTTCTCTGCAGGAGGCTGAGACTTGACCTCTTTGGGTACAGAATTAACATCAAAAGGCTCTTCTGAAGGATCCTGAATCTGTTCAAAACAAAAGATTCCATCAATTTTTGAAGTAATATAAACAGAAAAATTACCTAACTGCTAGAATAAGCACCAACTTAGCAGAGTACTTACATAATTTTTCAAACCCGTCTCCAGATTGCCAAGTGGTATATCAAGTGAACCAAACAAAAAATCTTTCACACTTTCCTCAGTTTCAACTACTGGACCATCACCTTCAAGATAATTAAAGTACAATGTAGCTCTATCACGAACCTGTAAACAGAACGGCATACTTGTGTATAAGCTTCATGGAAGAAAGACACCATACGAGAACATGAAGTCACAATAAGCACCAATGTCTGTCCGTCTATGATATTGATTGGCAACCTTATGACAGCCTTGTAACTGATTCTATTATTTCCAGTGGTAGGAAAATAACATGTGCTCACAAGCTCCATATTATTAATAGCAGTCAGTCATATAAGAAAGCAGAAACAACAGTGAAACCCACAGTTATCACAAAGACAGAAATAAATCTCAGACTTCAGAAATCTTAGAAATAGTTGAAGAAAACAAAGGTAAATTATATATAAAAAAGCAAAGAAAGAAATAAAACCAACCTCGTCATCATTGTCAGAAAGGCAACGCCTCAACAGAATAAATATCCGGGGCTGCAGCAAAAAAGAAAATATTTTCCATCAACTTAGAAACTTGTACTCCTGTATGCACAATGTTAATAATGACTGATGCAGTCTTACCTTCAATGAATCAACCATCGCTCCAAACTTTGCCAATGTACTGACAGCACTGGCCCGGATGGTTGCATTCTCAAGTATCACTCTGTTGTAAATATATCGGATATATTTACTAGGATCTGAGGTCTTTGGTCCCTCATTTCCAAGAAAGTGCAAAATCTGAAAAAGTAACAAAGATAAGTTCCAGTGAAGTGCTGAAAAAAAAAAAAGCAGCAGCAGCTAAACTAGCATTGACTGAAGAGAAATTGCTATGTAGGAAACGAATAGAATAATGAAGAATAATTGCCAACCTGGGTGGAAAGATAAGTGAATTCACAATCCTCAATGAATTCACATAAGTGAAGTAATCCACTTTCTTTGGCATCTGGAATATCTCTAATTATGATCACAATTGCATCAACAATTGCCTTTTTGTATTCAAACCCACCTTCTTCTCTCAAAATACTGCTTAAGAAATTCATTCTGAAAGGAACCCATAAGAAGAGCACAATTATCAAATTGTAATAGAAAAATAAAACAAGGAAATAAATATTGATCTTGAAATACACAGGATGTGAAAAGTTATCAATTTTCTGTTTCTAGGCAAACTGTACAATCACTCACAGAGATCTGTACTTGAGGGGGAACTTTAGACACAATGATCTTATAGCCTCTACTACGACAATCTTGAATTCATCAGCAATGTCTGACATAAAATTTGTGATCTGTTTCATTAAGCGGTCAACACTAGACTCATTCCCTGTTTTCAGCAGAGTCGTGATCGCAAGAGTTGCTATGCTTCTATTCTGATCTGAAATCAAGCTTTCCATGTCTATGTTACAATTTGTAACAGCCATGGGATGTGTCATCGCCACCTGCAGACAAGTCAAGTATAGAATGCATCAAAACAAAAGGAACTTAACTCATAAAATAGACAGTTAGACACATGGAATATACAGCATGGAGATTACAGAAGTCCAACCTTGAAAAGACTCTTTAAAAAATTGCAAAACAATACATCAACATCATTCAATATACAGCACCAATTGAACTAACTGCAATACCCATGCTTTTGTTTAGAAGCAGTTATCATAAAAGTAGTAAGGGTATGTAGGATAGATATCACAATTTTACTCCTTTCATGTCTAAACTAACAATACAAAACTTTAACAAGTTCACTTTTCACTGTCCTTTAAAAGAAGAACCTCAAGATTGAAGTACAAATAAATTACTTGAAATCTAAAAGAAAACAACAGAAAGAAATGAGCATAATAATATCAACGTGTGAAGCTGAGAGAAGGGATTAAACACATGCAACAAAAATACAAAGAATAATAAGCATCAGCAAAAAGTCAATCAACAAGTACAGAAAACAAGTTAGAACTATTATAAAAAGAGTAACCTTATTCAAAGTCCGGATAGCAGCAAACCTAAGCACTGGCTTAGAAGAACTTAAGAAGAGCTGTATAACAGTAATTGCAGGAGTGAGCTCCCGGGCAGTCACATTGCTCAACTCTGTGATTGCTCTAGCTGCTTCAAAGATAACCATTTCAGTTTTGTGCCGGAGACAGCCCTCAATATAGTCGAAGAATGGACGGTCTCCAGTTTGAATGTTTACAACCGACTCTCTAATAACCTACACATGTCAAACGTTGTATGGATCAATCAGTACATATGACAGAGCAAATGAAAGTCACTTAAAAACTCCATCACACAAAAATCATCACCTGACTAGTGTAACGTATCAGAAGGCATTGAGCTAAAGGTGAACGAATGGACCCCTTGGTCAAGCTGGTAACTAACTTGCTGACAGCCAAGCGATCATTTTGTCTTATCTGCAAATTTAAGCATAGGACACGTCAATACAAGCCAACCATGTCAAGGCATTTTCTATGTGAAACATCCTTCCCAAAAACAGGATCCAATTAATCAAATGTACGTAGCAAAAGTACTGCATGACCACAGAACTCCTTTTTAAGTGTGTGAATTGACATATATAAAGAGAAGCATATGCCGCTAAATTTTAAGGAAAGTATGCCAACAATCAGTTAGAATCGGGTCTCCATTTGGAAAGGAAAATAAATACTGAAGGTAACATGAAACAATACATGCAAAGTTATATTCTAATACACCAACTGCAGTTGTGTGGAGTAATCGGTTCCAGAAATCGTACCCAAATGTGGCACCTTGACCACAATTCAATTAAATCCCTCAGCAGGACAAAGAAACCTTATTTTGTAAAACGGGAGAAAATCACATGTAATTATAACCAAAAATTAGGTATGGAACAACACAGCTTTGAATGTCACTGCGAGATGCACACTTCACTTATAGCATAAGTTACGCAAACTGCAAGCCTGAAAACTCAAAGAACATAAGAAAGAAATGCCCTTTCTCATAGAAGGCATTAAAAAGCCAAAGTCGATAAATCATCGCATAGTTTGACTATACTAAGATAGGTATAAGCTAAAAAATTAACTTCAGGTAGCATCCAGAAGGAAAATATTGTAATTACGCTAAGGCTAACCCTCTTTAGATTATGAAGTGGCTCCCATAGAGCATGGCCATACTATACAGTAATTTGGTTCGTTCAAGTAATAGTGGAATCAAGGAAGCTATGAAGATACAAAAAATCAAATTGGAGGGAGACAGGAATCATATAAGATGATGGAACATTATCGAACACAAAGAATGATGTACCTGGTGGAGCAGAGCAAGTGCATGAAATTGTACAAGTGCAGCACGAGATTGAATAGCTTCTTGTACCTCATTACTCCATCTTTTCACAATCTCTGGGGCCGTCTGTCAAAAGAAAGCACATGTTCATAATACTGAAAAACTCTAGTTAACCATGAACAGATGTGATTCCTAGTAACGTCTACAGTACCTGTAGCAAATGAATGCCGCTGACGATGGCAGCACTTGCCACCACAGGATTTTTGTCCACAATGGCCTGCTTAAGGTATCTCTCTATTTGTGTCAAGAGAGTTCCATCTGTAATTTGGCATAGGACACGAATGGCATTTGCCCGGTACATATCAGTACGGCTATTCATGTCCTTCATGAGGGAGCTTGTGACGATAATAACCTTGATGCCACAAAAGAAAGATTTTGCTTCTTACCTTCTTGGAAAGCATTAAATTAAAATAGAAAACTAATAGCAATAAAAATGTCCAGGTTACCTCATCTGCAGAAGGAGAAATCTCTTTTATCATTAGATAAACCATTCTTCTCAAACCAGTATCTCGGGATTGAAAAAGCTTTGTAACAGCGAAAAATACTCCGGTGGCTTCAGTCTAGAAATCAAATTAAGTAAAAATTATGCCCAATCCAGCTTTGGGACTTCAGAGAAAAAACATACAGCATAAAAAAATAGACAGATAAAATCACTAAGAACGCATATCTGCATTAAGTGATTAAGTCGTAATATTTTCGCTTTCGTTGTGAATGAGCTTACGTAACATATCCAAGATGAGATTTGTAGATGTTTGTTATTCGCTGATATCATTGTACTAGTTGAGGAGAGTATGAAAGGCATAAATTATAAGTTAAATCTATGAAGTAGTCATTTGGAATCTAAAGGTTTTTGATACAGTCGTGAGGGATTTAATTGGACTGGAACTTCTGAAAGTAATGAAAAATGATACATGAAGTCGATCTCCAATTTATTGGAATAAAGTTTTTTTTTGTAAGATTTTTCTGAATGCGTGCATGTGTGCTTGTGAGGGGGAGAAAAAGAGAGAGAGAGGCTGAGAGAGACCCTAACAGCCTTACAATCTGACCTTTGTAAATGTCTCGCCTTGATTCAGAAGATACAAAAGCTTTGTGATGACCTAAAAAAAGGGAGAAACAAAACCTGTTAATTGTTTCTTAAATACTATAAAACATCTAAACTTGAAATATGTAAATCAATAATAGGTAATAACTAAAATAAGCACCTGTGAACATCTCTTCGCATCCAACTGAGGATCATTGAAAACCCTAGCTTCCTGCAAAACTGCTCCCTTCTCAATCCCCATAAATGGAGAGTACTCATCTGATGATAACAAAACCAGCATCACAATGTGTAGCACTATAGAACTGAATAATCTCTAAACTAAGAGTATCTAAACCGCAATTGCCTGATCCAAAATAATTTCATTCCACCACATTAAAGAAAATGATTAAATTTTGCCAAATTGGAACTCCATAAAGGTCAAATGAAAACAAGTTATACACACGACTCATCGGAGGATTAGAAAGAGAACTTCTCAATACTCTGGTTAACTAGCTAAAGGTACACATTTATTAAAGCATTAATAATTAAAAATCTAACAGGATAGCAGATAAAAATACCAAGCCTGGGTAGAATCCCAATTCAGTTCATGATTTAATCTATATTTACTAAAAGAAAAAATAGCGGAGATCTGGAGGTGAATAAAAAAATAGGATTAAACGAAATGCCAACCAAAATTGAACGTGTGATTAAAAATTTAGAGAAAAATGGAAAAGGAAACAGATTCTGAAACGCACCTTCATCATCGCGATCGTCATCTTTCTTCACGAAAGGCTGAGCCATTTCAGTGAGATCTCTACAGTTTTCAACTGAAAATTCCTCGATTTAATGTGTGCAAGTGTATTACTGTGTGTAGAAGAAGAATTTGCAGATCTCTTTCAGCGTTTTATTAAATTCACAACACGAAACTTCACACAGATGCAGGCTGAATGGGATGGAACAGAAGAAGTAAAAGCGGTAATAACCAATTGAATTTTTTTGTTTTCTTTGATTAATTATAACACCACCACAATTTTTATTTCATAAGCTACGTCTTAATCTACATTTTAATTGCAGTTAAATTCTTCAATCTTTGCCTATTGTTACAATTATTTTATTAACTTTTTTCAGTTGAATTCTCATCAACACCCTTGTATTAATTAGTATGTCACGTCCATGATTTATATCATAATATTTTGAAATTAGGAAAAATATTTCTTTGCATTATTTATTTTTCAAAGATTATATGAAAAATAAGTTATTTTATATCTTTTCAATAAATTTTTGAATATAAAATACAAAATGTAGTAAAAAATGGAAAGTTTGAGAATAAAAATGATTTGAAAAATTATTAAGGATATAAGTGTTATAACGAGTAAAGATTAAGAGTTTTAAATGAAATTAAAATGTAGTACAACAGATAAAAATGAGTAAATTGTTTGAACAGTCACAGAACTTTAACATCATCATGACTTACTCACTGAATTTCAAATTGCCTCTAAATGGTCACTGAACTTTCATTAATTGCACCACATCCAACACTCGAGGGCAGTGGGGTGGGCAATTGGAATAGAGTTCAGTGACCATTTAGAGGCAATTTGAAATTCAGTGAGTAAATCGTGACCATATTAAAGTTTAATGAGTGTTCANGTGATCATGTTAAAGTTCAGTGAGTGTTCAAAGAATTTACTCGATAAAAATTGTGGTATGAATATAATTACCCGTTTTCTTTTTTCATATATTTACGTCACTTTTTTTAATAACTAAACTATTTTTTAATTGCATAAAAGGTTCATAACTTTTACACATTTTCATATTTTTGTTTCAAACTTTTTTCATTGCATTCTTATTCTCAGATTAACATAAATTATTCCGGATTACAATTTCTTTCCAAATTTTTTTAAGATAGAAAAAAAAAAGACTCATTTGCCCATTGTATTTTTGAATAAGCAAAACAAATAATATTACAAAAATATGATTTAAGAGCTCGTTTGAGCTTTTTTGCCCAAAATGCATTGTGAAATAGTATTTTGATGGAGAATGTGTGGCTAAAAATTAAGAAAAAATTAAATTTACGTGTAATATTATTTTATTGAAGAACGTGTGGTTGAAATAAGAGAAAGAAAAACGTGTTTTGAAAATAATGAGAATCAAACAATTGCTAAGTATTTGACTCTTATTTTAAAGCAAATAAATAATATTTTTGGACAAAAATTATGATTAATAACAAGATCTTCTAATCAATGAAATGTTAAAAACAAAAATGTGACGAAGTGTAACTATGGTAATAAATAAAGGTTGGTGACCGTTAATGTAATTAAAATATGATATATTTATAAAAGGGGAATTTGGCCATTTAGCCTAGTTGGACAATGTATTTGATGAAATGACATTTGACCAATAATAAAAACAAAAAAATAAAGCAAAATATTTTAGTTGGCAAAATGACAAAACTCTCCTTCAATTATTAACTCAAAATCCCTCAATTTTCCTCCTTTCATCCCGTCATTTCTCCTTCATCTTCTTTCCCATTTTATCTTCTTCAATCTTAAGTCTCAAAAATCCTAAATTTTCATGATTTCATCCCGTCATTTCTCCTCCATCTTTTTCCCCCTTTTATCTTCTTCAATTTTAGGTCATCAAAATCACAATTGCCCATTTTATTTTCTTCGATCATCGTTCTTGCTGCCCAAAAATCATGTTCTTTATTATATTCTTCAATTATTTTGGGCATCTTTTAAACATTTGAACAAGAGTTTGATTAGTATATCATCTATATTGAAAATCACTTTACATTTGAAGAAAGAAGAAAGACAATTTTAGAAATTTTTTGTAGTTTGTACTTTTATTGTTGAATATAGTATTAAATAATATTTAGTTGGTGTTGTTTTCGTATTTAGTGTGTTTTTTGTGTTGTTTGCAACCATTGGATGATAATGATACTCCAATTGCTATGTGAAATCTATAACGCCACTCTAGTCGTTATCCACTACGTAAAACGGAACTATAGTCGTTATCTACCGTGGTTTGATTTTTTCAACAAACTGACTTCTAATAATGGACTCACTAACAAACTGACTTCTAATAATTGATTCACTTATAAGCAGCAACGACCCAAAAGTGTAAGAAAAATGCTCTTGAGAACAGCACAAGTGTCGTTATTAACTTATAAGA